GTAAAATTTTTTTACCTTACTTTTTTTATTTTTCCTGTCACACTTACCCCCTGCCTCCCCCCCTCCCCTAACCCTCCCCCCCCCCCCTAAAAAAAGATTTACTTTTTTTTTTAAAATTTCAAATTTCTATTTTTTTATTTTTCTGCACATACCCCCCTGCCCTGCCCTGCCCTGCCCCTCCCCCCCGGGAAAAAATATTTTTTATATATATATTTTCAATTTTAGTTTTTTCATCTGTCGGTTTACAGCTTCGAAATTTTACAAGTTCCAAAGTTATGAGTTTAGATGTTTATGTGTTAGAAAGTTTACGGGTTTAGAAATTATAAAGTTTACGGGTTCGAAAGTTCGCGATTTTTACGTAAAAAAGTAAAGCAACACATTAGTTGCTTTGGTTTGTGTCAATTTTTAGAGACTTGGGGAAGGAGTAGGGGGGAGGGGGAGGGGTGAGTTGCATAAAAAATATTTTCCTAAAAAAAATATATTCTACTCTCTAACCAAACAATAGAAAATATTTTCCGGAAAATGTTTTCCACTCACCAACCAAACAAGGGAAAATAAGTGATAAAACCACTCATTTTCCATAAAAACATTTTCTAGAAAAATATTTTCCTTCGTACCAAACACTTTTCCTTTTAATAGGTCATACACGATACAAATTTGAATGAGTCGAAACTTCAATAGTGATAAATGAAAAATAAAAAAAGAACGAAAACAAAAACAAAGGCAGTCGTCATTTTATGTTATAAATTTCTTAGAAGTTAGAATTGATCAGATGAATCAAATTGGAACCTGTCAATTTCAAGGATCGTTTCCCTATGCTGGATCAGCCAATAAGAAAAACCCACGTGTACTCCTGCAAGAATTGTCAGCCAACCACACTGGTTTTCGCTTTCGTATCACAACTGTTTGTGTAAATGCCAAGGAAACAGTTAATCTTTTGTTTGTTTCACTCTTTGCCTTCCCATTTGCCAATTGCGCCGGCGCCTGTCCTTTTGTCTCCTATACCACCCCACCCCCACACTTCTACGTTATCCTCTCCCCAGATCCTAACTTATTTCCATTTTTGGTATTCTCACATTATTTTGTTTTAATGGCAATATGGCCATGGGCGGAGCTGGCACTTCAAATACGCATTCTGCTCAACACTGTAATTTTTGCTCAAACCCTATATTTTTTTTTAAAAATTATTAATTTATGCAAAAATTATTAATTTAGAACTCAGTAAGTTAAAAGGATTAGAATACTAAACTCAAAAATTTTAAATCCCGACTCCGCCTCTGAATCTCACATGGTCTCAATTATTAATTCCCATAAGATAAAAAAATTTGTCCACTTGACTACATGACATTTTCAGATTGATTGAATTTGGGTTTTAAGCTATGTCTATCCTTCCTTTTTGGTATTGTTACAATATTTCAATTGCAAAATATTAGGAGTAATTATTACTCCCTTTGTCCGAACTTATGTGGCATATATTTTTTCCCTTTTAAGGCATTCCAAAAAAGAGAAAATAACTCATCATGTACAATTATGTAGATTTTATAGAGTAATGGTAACGGTGTTTTACTGTTAATTTTTTCACTAGACCCAAAAAAAATCAAATTTACCATACTTATTCATTTAGAAACAATTTAATTTTAATTTTCTTAGATGATTTGTCCTTAATTCTACGGTTCGCTCTATACCACTTAACAATCTTTCTTTTTTTATTAAATTTCGTGGCTAGTCACCATTCAATGACATAAAAGAAAGAAGTTTATTTGCACCTAGTCTTTGAATGGGAGAGTTGATTTTCTAATCTATTACAAATATTACTTTTCTTATTTAACTATTTTAAAGAAGGATGGTGAGAAATAGCACAGAGATCTTTATAAATTTTTTTAATTCAAATTGTAAGTGTAGATTAGATACCATTTCCTCGGTTTGTAAAAAAAATTCATGATATGTTTCTTCTTGTTTGGATGGTTGTTACATATCGTTCTAAAATGTATCATATTATATTGTACTGCATCATTTGATGAATACAATATTTGGATAAATTGTATCATTTATCGTTGTTTCATAATATTACCTACCAGCAATATGAAAAATAAAAATTCAAAATAGTAGGTAACAACCATCCAAACAAGTTGTAACCCAAAAGAAAAGTTACTCACTTTACTATGATAAATTAAAGAGTCAATTTGTGACTAGTTATAGAGTTAACTTCTATTGAATATTTTTGTGAGATCTAAGATGTGTGTCCACTTTACAAGATAGAACTTGGGGTTTTGAGCTACAGTTACCCTTTCCATTTTTGGTATTATTTTTATTACTTTAAATGGCATGATCTCTATTATTTAATTCCCCAACTATAAAGTACGTCTATCTACTTGACATTTTATATCCATCATTTTGTTTTCTCCTCTGAGACCCACCACCCACTATTTTCTTCTCTGCTCCTCCTTCTTCTTGAGCTGTGGTGGTGGTGGTGGGGTGTAAGTATTTTCTCTGCATAACAAAATGGGAGGTTCTTGCAATGAACGCCTTGATTTTGGCAAAATGGGTTATGGGTAATTTCTCTTTTTGTTATACAATTTGCATTTCTCAACTTTAGACTTGTTGGTATTTATATTTGTTTCTGTTTATCAGAAAGTGGGGTGATTTGATATTCCTGTTTTTACCCCATAAAGATTGCTTCTTTCTTCTTCAACTGTTTGATTACTGGAATTTATATTTTGAGGTGATCTGATTTATACGTATGTGTGTGTCAGTGTGTCTTAACTCTTTCAGATGCTCAAGTAAAAGTTGATTTAATGTGATGTGTAACTTGAAAATTGAATTTCTGTAAATTTATCTGTACGTGAATCATGATTGGAACATTCTTAGTGTGCATTTTATCTTTGTCTTTCAAGATTGAAACTTCATCTCCATCAATTTCAATTTATGTAGCACTATTTCCTTATTAGTCCGTTATGAAAAAAATGACACATTTATATTTGAAAATGATTAAATGACAAGCTTTTATAGCCACACAAATGTTAATGTTATAGCCATATAGATGATATGGCATGCTATGTTTAAGATCACAAGTTTCTAAAGTCTTTTTTTTTTCTTCCTAAAACTCTATGCCGAGTCAAACTACGTCGTATAATTAGAATGAAGGGCGTAGTGTTTGATTGAGGTTCCTAATCATCTTCCTGTAGAAATCTTCAATCTCAGATTGTTTTTAGCTTTTATATGTTTTTTCTTACAGTTCTAGTTGTTCTTAGTATCTGATTTTGGATTTGTGATAGATGCAAGCACTATAGGAGAAGATGTAAGATTAGAGCCCCTTGCTGCAATGAGGTCTTTGACTGCCGCCATTGTCACAATGAAGCCACGGTAACTTTGATTCACCAATCTCTTGAACTTACTTGATGGCGACTAATATATTCTCTGTCTAATGAAAGTTAATCATGTTTTCTCCTGTGTTTGTTTCAATAGAGCATGTTGTGTATTATTTTTGATCGGCATGAACTAGTTCGACAGGATGTCACACAGGTTATATCTCTGCTATTTCCATTGCTAGTTATTCATCTGTTACACTTAATTCTTGAAGAGTTGTTATGATATGAGGTATGTTTCCTTTTGGTACTTCAGGTCATCTGCTCGGTTTGTGATACAGAACAGCCAGTACGTGTCTTTTGACTTGAATTCACGCCTCTTTCTCTGTTTTGGTATTACTGCAATTGATGCTACAACGTCCTTTCTATTTCAAATCCAGGTCGCTCGCCTTTGTACAAATTGTGGTGTCAACATGGGAGAATATTTTTGTGAAGTGTGCAAATTCTATGATGATGATGTAATATACTGTGCATTTTACTAATATGAGATTTAACTCGTTTACCTTTAAACAAGGCAATCCCATAATTATTTGGGCTTTAGACCCTTTAGCCATTACCTTTCGAAATACTTATTTCCGGACTCCCCTGTTACAGATAGACAAAGGACAGTTCCATTGTGATGATTGTGGAATCTGCAGGTTAGTGTACAACATATCGCAGTGCATTTGTTACTTTTTGATGGTGAAAGTATCTTCTGCTTTGGAAGTTCCCGGTCTGACATGTATTCTTTGCACAGAGTTGGTGGTCGCGAGAACTTCTTTCATTGCAAGAAGTGTGGTACATACGCATCACAATTTCCGATCATTATGATTCGAGGCTTTGTAGAAAATTCTGTTTTCTTTTTCTCATATGTTTCTTTAATATGTTTCGTGATTCTTTACCTTGGAAGTATACATGCCGAAATGTACCATGGTTAATGTTAAGATTTTGTTTACACCGTGGAGGCATAAACGTTGTTGTAAGTGATTATGCCCTGGATATTACTGTAATACAAATTACATTTATGTATTTCTTTAATTTTAGATATCTCTGTTGTTTTTCTCCCTTCATATAGTGGAATGTAGGAGTGTCCGCAATGTTTCCAGAGTTCTGGTTGTGCAACTATGTTTTGATGCTTTATTTAATTGTGCTTATTGAAAATACCAGTTGTGACCGAGCTTTTGCTTTCTTATATCTGCTGTCTAATTAGTTGGTTGGATAATGCAAATAGAGAATCTACAGTAAGAGCACTATTTAAAGCTTTTCAATTTCATTTTTGTTGCTCATTTAGAGAAGTTGCAAATTGTATGGTGATATCGCTTTCTTCTTTGTGATTTCGTGTTGCACACAGTGGGCACTCACATAATGTTGTCGCTTCTTCATTCCTGTTGTTTGGTACATTTGCTTCTTCACCTACTTATCGCTTTCATTCTGCAGGTTCTTGTTATTCAGTTAGTCTGCGTAATAACCACTCGTGTGTGGAGAACTCCATGCGGCATCATTGTCCCATTTGTTATGAGGTATGTTACGTAATTGCTGTGGATCCTGCCTTTAAATGTTCTTGTCATTCATAATGCTCTAATTCTTTTAATGCAGTTTCTCTTTGATTCTCTGAAAGACACAAGTGTAATGAAATGTGGGCACACAATGCACGCTGAGTGCTACCACGAGATGATAAAGCGTGACAAGTAATCACTTAGTGTTTATCTATTTATGCTGTTTTTTGAGTCTCCTTTAAACGGAAGGAAAACTTTTATGTTTACTGACTTCTGTCTTTTTTAACTCAGATACTGCTGCCCTATATGTTCTAGATCAATTATAGACATGTCCAAGGCTTGGAAAAGAATGGATGAGGAGGTAGGTTAAAATTTTACCCTTCGGGAAATTGGTCCACGTCCAATTTCCTCAGAGTGTTTGCTTGCATGCTTAATCAACTTTTTCATAGCTGATTACTGTTTTAGGCATATTCTAGAACTTTTTCTGTTTTTAAAGAACCGGACCATAGAACAGGTTTAGCATTACTACTTGCGAGTTTTACTATATGAGTTGATTCAGCTCCAATTTCTTGATCTGTCCAAAAACACCTTAATTGTCGTATTGCTTGAGTATGCATAATCTTTTTCATTGAAATCGTGTGCATGCTTAATTACTTGAGAACAGCTTCAGCATTAGTACATAATTTTTTGGAGGACTTCAAGACCTTTTTTAGCCTCTCTTTTCAGTTAACACAGTTTGCCTTGGTACAAAATATTTTCGTTATACTTCTATCTTTCACAATCTATTCGATTATTTTTTTTTTTTTTTAGGGGGGGGGGGGGGTAGGGGGGGTAACAGCTGCACAATTTCTCTTTTCCTCTGTCCCTAGCTGCCATAAATATATGTTAAATTGTTAACCACCCGTTGCACATCTGCTGGCAGTCTCAAGGTTTTGGTTATGATTGTTCCGGTACTTTTTTAGTTGGTCGGGGGTAAGGTTTCTCTAAATCTGATTTTCAAGAGTGCTGTTTACACCCAGTCCTACCTTAAAACTAAAAATTTCTTCTTTTCAGATTGAAGAGACAATCATGCCTGAAGATCTTAGATATAAGAAGGTACTTCCTTTTTCTTGAGTCGAGACCCCATATTTGTTACATGTATTTGTTTTGGCTGTTAATTGCATAGGGGGCCCCCAAGGCGGGTTCGATGTTTAATTATCCACAGTGCCTTAATGCATGTAGAAGTCCATGCTATTGTCTTCATTTACAGGCTGAACCTACTTATGGTTTTGCTTAGCTCATCTAACTTGTTTACTTGCAGGTTTGGATTCTGTGTAACGACTGTAATGACACAACTGAAGTATTCTTCCACATTATCGGGCAGAAATGCAGACACTGTCAGTCATACAACACTCGTATGATTTCACCTCCTGTTCTTCCCCAATAACAACTATCTACTCCGGAAAAAAATGATTGTTTGAGCTGCGGAACCAAGTGCTGTGGTCTCATCTTCCTTATTACTAATTGTTTTGTGCCATTTCTGTATTGATTCGTCGCCATTGCATCATAACTCAACTTCACTTGCAAGCATTTGTGACATGATTCTTTCTCCAAAGATGTGAGAGTAAAAGTAACTGATTTGATTCTGGACTATGTATACCATGTACACATATATATATTGCTATAGCATTTCAAGGGACTGCTTTTGAGCTTCAAATATGAAAATGAAACACATTTATTTAATACTGTGGATTTGATTCCATCTTCCTCTGCATGTTTAGTTTAGGTTCTGTAACCATGCCAAACCTGATGGTTGGTATAGAAATATGGATGTTGAATATCAATTGAATCTGCTCAAAATGTGAACAAATCAGAAGGACACAATCATTTTCTGCTACCCAATTTATATTTCATTCTTGGGGTACTATAGACTTAGAAGAATTCCAATTAAAAATTGTTCCCGCAGTTATGAAAGACGATATCGTTAGGTTATAAATTTCTTATAAAGCAGTCTTTCCATTTGGTACGAAGGATAGGAGAAAGGAGAAGGGAACTGTGATGAGTTTGTGGTATTGGCCAAATGCCGAGTACCACTACACTCACTACTATTTCGTGACAACATTAATTGATATGCACTTTACATACGTATACACTCATTACTATTTCGTGACAATATTGATATGCAATTTTACATACATACGTATGTAGACATACGTATTGTACATATATATAAGTTACATACGTACATGCATATACACTACATGCATTACACACTGCACACACATGATCAGGGGCGGATTTAGGGGAGGCGGAAAAGGGTTCACCGATTACACTGTATTTATAAGACCAAATATGTTTTTTACTTCTATATATTATGTTTTGAATCCCCCTAACACAACCCAAAAGCATAGCTTAGTGGTCAAGAGGGTTAAAAACCTCCGTAAGGTCATCTGTTCAATTCCCACTAGTTATGATCTCTTTTAATTTTTTTCTTTTTTGAAACCCCTTAGCGGAAATCCTGCCTCCGTCACTGCGCATGATGTTGGGTAAGCTAAGTGGTAATAAAAAATTTAAGCTTGATCAAGCTTTACTGTTTTCTCACTAAATATCAAAATGTACAATTTGCACACTATCTACCTAACAAGATCCTTAATTTCTCCACAAAGATGGTAATTTGTTGATTTACACATTCCTACTCTGATATTTAGACTTTATTATGTAATCTTATCATGCTTCTGTTTTTGGTAAGTTGTTATGACTTCTCCATAAATTAAAATACCACAAGGTGCATTCGTATAAAAACAAACACCAATTAAGTTCTTTCCTTTTCCTTTTTGGTAGGTAACTACTAGCAATGAGATCACTTAATTCATTGCTTCCTCTATCTATAAAACATCTAAAACTAAAGTAATTTCAAACAAAGAAGAAAAAACTTGAGAGCTTTTCCAATGGAGGAAATACAAGATACTAATACTACATCTCTGAAAGTTCTAATGGTTCCATGGTTAGCTCATGGCCATGTAATTCCTTATTTAGAACTAGCAAAGAAACTATCTAAAACCAATCTTTTCTTCATATACTTTTGTTCAACACCTATCATTCTTAATTCCATCAACCAAGAAAATCTACCAAAAAATATCCAACTCATAGAATTCCCTTTACCATCATCAACACAACTTCCTAGCCATAACCACACCACCAATGGCCTACCAAAAAACCTCCTTTCAACCTTAATCCAAACTTTTGGAGAAGCTACTTCAGCCTTTGCTAAAATTCTTGATTCCCTTAATCCGGATTTGCTTATTTTTGATGGTTTTCAACCATGGGCACCTGAGCTTGCTTCTTCAAGAAATATTCCTGCTATTCATTTCCTAATAGTTGGCTCTGCTTCTATTTCTTTCTTCTATCACCATTATTTGTATGTTGGCACAAGAAACTTTCCATTCTCAGCAATTTTCCTTAAGGATTATGAGGCAAAACAACTCCAACACAACTCCCTTGGACCAAATGTTGCTTTCAATGGGGTTGAAAAATCCCATGATATTATTTTGATCAACACTTGTAATGAAATTGAGGGAAAGTATGTGGATTATCTCTCAACTCTAAGCAAGAAAAAGGTCATACCTGTCGGTCCACTTATTCGTGAATTGAAAACAAGTATGGAGAATGAGGGAAATGACTCCAAGATTATACAATGGCTAGACAACAAGGATGAGTCCTCATGTGTTTATGTTTCATTTGGAAGTGAGTATTTCTTGTCCAAAGAGGAGATTGAAGAAATAGCACATAGCTTAGAGCTAAGTGAGTTGAACTTCATATGGGTACTAAGGTTTCCATTAGGTGAAGAAATTAACATTGAAAATGTGCTACCAAAAGGTTTTCTTGATAGAGTTAAAGAAAAAGGTGTAATTGTGGAAAAATGGGCACCTCAAGCAAGAATTCTTGAGCATGCAAGTGTTGGGGGATTTTTGTGTCATTGCGGATGGAATTCTATACTAGAAAGTTTACATTTTGGAGTTCCTCTTGTAACCATGCCTATGCACCTGGATCAACATACTCATTCAAGAATGGCGGTCGAGCTAGGAACAGCTATGGAGGTTGTGAGAGATGAAAAAGGGAAACTGAATAGAGAAGAGACAGCCAAAGTGATAAGAAATGTGGTGATGGAGAAGAATGGTGGAGAAAATGTGAAGGCAAAGATAAGAGAATTGAGGAACAAGATAAGAGAGAAAGGAGAAGAAGAGTTTGATCAAGTGGTTAAGAGGTTGTTGCACCTTTGTACCAAGAATAAGCAATGAACACAAGATGGCATAAAAGAAGAATTGGTAATTTTTTTTTTTTTTTTTTTTTTTTTGGGGGGGGGGGGGGGGGGGGTTGTTTTGTGTTATGATTGAGATGCACTTTTCTTTTTGTTCTGGAAATTTGTGGTGCTTTCTTACCTTAAAATGAAAAAGAGATTCTATTAATATTGCAGCTAGCGCCCTCTTACTTATTTCACATTCTAGCCTATGTCTTCATCCTAGATTCTTCGTGATAGAGTCCATTTTCCTCTTAAAAACCTAATTTTTTGCCGGTCACCTTGCGAACTTAAGTTTCTCCAATTCAAGTTCAAGATTGGTTACACACTACGTCCATCGGGTCTGAGTTCACCATCCCAAACTGAAAGTGAAAGAAATTGACTGTGAAAGACCATATCGTTTTTCATGGTTGGAAGTGGAGGCGCTCTATCACCAGAGCAACCTTCACTCATCTTGTCTGTTCTTACTTAATTTTGACTTTACAAGGGTTAATTCACCTAATTTTTATGAAGTGATATAAAATGTGATTTAATTGGTTGTAACAGTAAGAACTTACATTGAAAGAGATTTTATTTTTAGACGTACTACCCGCAGAAAATTGCTTAAGATACAATTGATACTCGAAAATGAGTGGGGAATTTGTATTTACTGCGCAAATGGATTTCGTTAGGCATATATACAAAGTTATAGATTCACAGGATTTCGTTTGGCTTATGCATATGTTCTTATGTTCTCATTTCAATTCGGTTGACAAATTTAATTCATTTAGGATATCCTTTCTTTGCCTTAAAATCCTCTTCCTTAATGTTTTATTATCAATTATGTATAGTAAATTATCCAAAAAAAGGAAAGAAGAATGAGAAAGTAAACAAACTCTTTAAAAGTTTGAATAGAAGTTAAGATCAAGGTTAATGAAGTTCAGAATGGCTAAACGAGAAGGATCCCGCTTCTAGTGTCCTTTGGAAAAAATGGATTGGAGATTGCACAATGGCTAGAGCTTAGCAATATCAACTTCATATAGGTAGGTAATCAGCTTTCCAGTTGGGGATAAAACAAGTAGTGAAGAGACAATAACTCAAGGCTATTAGTTGTGGAGGGGGATGAGCACCTAAGGCTAGAATTCTTGCTCATTCTAAGTATATATATTGGTGGTTTTGTGAGCCATTGCGGATGGAATTCTGTAATGGACGGACAATATAAATTCCAGAGTCCCTATTATTGCCATGCCACTGCAATTTGATCAATGTATAAATATGCTAGGCTGGTGGGAATAGTTGATGATGGGAGGCTTAAGGCGGAAGAGATAACTAGGGCGATAAAAGATGTGGTTGTAGAGTGAAGAAATAAGGATCAAGGTACGAACAATGGGCGATAACATCAAAATGGAAGCAGATGAAGACATAAAGGGTGATTGAAGAGCTGGCAAAACTCTGTGAGAAGCATAAACAACAGGAATAAAACCATGGTTCTTGATTTGCTCGATCATGAAATGGCACATTATATATATTGGGTTGAAGATTTGCATAAAAAAGAGGACAACATTAACTGAAACATATACGCAATACATAGTCCAAGGCATAATGGAATAAAATCACTTTCCTTTGTAACATCTGTGTTTTGCTTTCACTTTTTGAAATAATATCTAATACAACCATCGAAAGATTTATATGCGTTTTCTTTAAATAATGACTTGTACAAAACCAGCAACAAGTGTTTCATGTCTCAAAACCTTTTACTAATAGCAAAACTTGATGAATTTAATCATCTATCAACCAATGCCTATAAATCACAAAACCAATCCTAAACAAGAAGTAATTCTCTATGAATATTCTCTACGATATCGCTTTTATTATTTCCTATCATTACTGTGATTGTCAATGTTGCTATCCGATGGTCACTTACAGAGATATTAGCAGCCAAAACTTCAGCCTGATGCTTGTCAAGAACACAGAAAATCTTGGTCATCAGCCCTTGACTTAGTTGAAATTGGATCCCAAAAAATGCTAATCCTTTCGAGACTGTGACATTAACAGAGGAAACTCTGTTTCTACATTGAGATAAAGCTGGTTTATCAACCAAAAATGACTTCTTCAAATTCTCCAACCTCACTATTTCTTGCTCTAGGCGCTTGATGTAATCTGTAGACTCTGCTACAATGTTCTCTCTTGTTTCCTGAAATTTTCAAAAGCCAAGAAAGAAACAGTGACTTAGCCATTATATTATGCGTCACATTTTTACTTGAGCCGAGGTCGGTAGGGGTAAGGTATGCGTACACACTACCCTCCCAGATCCCACTTGTGGGAACATACTGCATATGTTGTTGTTTATATGCATCACATTTTTATTTATGAATTTAGAATCTAAACAAAAAATGGATATCTAAATCATAGTCTAAGCCTCTAAGGAACTTACTGCCAAATTACATTTCAGGAAACAAATCTAATAATAGTTGCAATTGCAGATGTAACCATTCAGATTGCAACTTTTCCTTATATTTGAATACAGAACACACACACACAAACACACACACACAGAGACACACACACACACTTTACTGATATACACAGATGTCTCATTCTTCAATACATGACTTAAACAAACAGTCAGAATGAAACTGAGATAACCACAAAAAGCATCAAACTATACAAGACCATTCAACATTACTCAAATAATTACGAATTTTCACAAAGAAATGAACCAAATTAAAATGCACAAATGAACTAAAGGAAACCCAATTGCTGAATTGAAAAGCAGAAGAAGGAAAAAGGACCTTATGGACGTGGGAGAGAGTAGGGACCAAGGATTGAAGCACAGAATACATCTCAGCCATTTTCCTTCTTCCCTCACGCCCCTTCTGTATATTAATACTCTCATTCTCATTAATAGGACCTTCTTTTCTCTGCCTTTTCCCATAATTTAATGAGCTACAACCCACCATTTCGTTCGTAGTAGAAAAATCAGTCAATGGCGGAATACAAGTATCTTTGTACCCTTCCATTACACCCATAAATAATCTCTCTATTTCTTCCTCTTCTGTTTCTTCTTTCATCATTTCTTTCCACATTTCTCGTCCTCTGTTTTTTCCTCACTCAGCTACTACTACTATTACTATATTATATGATTATATGTGTATGTATATATAGGCCTCCTCACACGCGCGCGCGCACAATAAATAAAAGGGAAGAAGAAGGGAGTTGGTTAGAATATTTGCAGTTTTGCGCCAACGAATGATAATCTTTTATTTGATTCTGTTGCAGTTGGGAATTTGTTTGTGTGAGGTATGTGTTTTTTGAGACTTGCATGCTGATTGATCAATTTATTGAATCTCAGCTGTCTGTTTTTGGATTAACGGTGATGATTGTTCTGAAAATCTTCAAGATTTACAGTGTGGTCGTGTTACTTGTGTAGTAAAAAATTGCTCATCTGAACTGCCCAAACAAACATCCATGTGGGCGGGAGGGTAAAGGGGTAGGGGGTGGTGGGGGTATTGTACTTGGGCTGTAAGAAAAGTGACTCTCTAACCAATAAGAATGGTGAAATCAAAATTTACTACGTATTTAAAAATTATATATAATATTTTATATGAAAGATCACTGTTTTTCTAAACAGATGGAGTGATATCTCTCATTATAAAAAACAGTAACTACCCTACACTACTCTTTTTACTGTTTGACTATACTTGAGCATAAGCAAATGTTAATGATGGGGCCATATGATATTGGTAAAATCTTATGTTGTTTACGCTAGCACTATCTTAATTTACCAGGTTAAATGAAGTGAGAATGTGTAATAATTAGGCATAGTTTAGTGATAATATCGCTAAAAACATATTTTATGTATTTATAGAGTTAATATAGTCATATAGACATTGAGAGTGAGATAAAGTTTTTAGAAGTGTCTATTAGTGATGTACTTTTTTCCTTTTTTGGTATGGAATATATATATATATATATATATATATATATATATATAGATATATATGTTGTTGAGAAGCTCTAGCTATGGAGGAACTGAAGGTTCTAGAGGATGAGAAAGGAAGAAGAAGAAGTCTGAAATGAAGCTCTGTATTATTCTTATAGAAGAAAATGAAATGAAGCGTGTAAATACAACTGCTTAGTCTCATCCTATTTATACACAATTAACTAACTTCTAACAACTACAACTAACTCTAATACATTCTAACTAATTACACTTTGTATAAATAGCTGGGACCTACACTACTTAACACTCCCCCTCAAGCTGAGGGATGAAATATATCTTTCATGCCTAGCTTGCCTAAGAGATACTCATCTTGTGGCTTGCACAGTCCCTTAGTTAACAGGTCAGCTAGTTGTTCTGTTGTTTTGATGTGTTGTGTCTGAATTAAGCTTTGTACAATCTTCTCTCTCACAAAATGACAATCAATACTCAATGTGTTTGGTTCTTTCATGAAAGATGGGATGAGCACCAATTTGTATAGCAGCTTTACTATCACAATGAAGTTGTATAGGCTGCTCTATGTCTGTTCCCAATTCTTTGAAGAGTCCTATTAGCCATACCACCTCTGCTACAGTAGAAGCCATGCACCTGAATTCAACTTCAGTAGAGCTTTTAGACACAATTCCTTGTTTCTTGGACTTTCAAGATATCAGTGCTTCACCAAACTTCATTGCATACCCGTCACTGATCTCCTAGTCTCCACAAAGCACCCAAATCAGAGTCACAATATGCAACTAACTGCTTGCATGCTTTTGCAGACATGAACAGTCCAAGGCTAGGTGCAGTCTTGATATATCTCACTACTCTTAAGGCAGCTTCCGTATGAGACACCTTAGGTGCATACATGTATTGGCTGAGTACTTGAACCACAAAGGCAATGGCAGGCCTTGTCATGGTCAAGTACAACGGCCTGCCAACTAGCCTCTGATAACTGCCTTTTTCTTCAAGTTCCTTATATTTTCATTTGGTATTTATTTGTCAAACTCAATGGATGTGAGCTTATGGTTGAATTCAAGAGGTGTGGCTGCTGGCTTTCCTCCTGCTAGGCCAAGCTCTGACACAAGCTCAAGGGCATACTTCATTTGACACATTACTATGCCTTCTTGAGATCTAGAGAAATCAATGCCAAAAAAGTATTTGAGTTCACCAAGGTCTTTCATCTTAAACCTCTCTTGCAACCTTTTCCTGACCTGTTTGATTAGCGTCAGATCACTTCCAGTTACCAGGAGATCATCCACATAAACTAGAATAACAACCAAGTCTGAGGCTATTTTCTGTGTAAAGAGTAAGTAATCATAGTGAGATTAAATAAAGCCCATATCAACCAAAGCTTTAGTTAATTTTAGATTCCATTGTCAAGGAGCCTGTTTCAAACCATACAAAGACTTATGAAGTTTGCATACCTTATGACACTCCCCCTGGCTTGAAAAGCCATCAGGAACATACATGTAAACTTCCTCTAGGAGATCTCTTTGAATAAAATCATTATGGACAACCATCTGAAACACATACCAACCAGAAGCAACAGCTAAGGCAACTATAGCTCTGACAGTGACCATTTTAGCCACTGGAGAAAAAGTTCCTGTATAACCCAAACCTTCCTGTTGACTGTAGCCTTTGGCTACCAGTCTTGCTTTGTACCTTTCCACTTCACCAGAGGATTTGTACTTGACTTTAAAGACCCATTTGCAGCCTATAGGAACCTTCTCAGGAGGCAAAGGAACAATGGACCAAGTGTTGTTTTCTTCAAGAGCAGTAATCTCAACCTTTATAGCCTCAATCCACTTGGGGTCTTGATTGGCTTCAGCAAAGGACTTAGGCTCCACAATGGCTGAGAAAGCAGTCAAAGAAGATTTGTAACTAGGTGACAGGTTATCATATGCCACATGATTGATCATAGGATATGAACAGGCTGACTTATTTGATGGAATTACATAGTCAGCTAGCCACACATGTGGTTTAGTTAATCTTGAAGACTTCCTGAGTGGCACAGAAGGAGCAGAGGATTCACAAGCTGAGGTAGGAGAAGGCACTGGTGAGGGCAAAACAGAGAGAGAGATGCAGAACTAGGAGCAGCAACATCAGCATTGTTGAGAATAGGAGATCCTGCAAGTGAGGGAGTAGTATTAGGAACAACTGCTGAATGAGTAGGATGTTCTACAAGCTCCAATACAGGAAAAAAAGGTGATGCACCTGAGGACATGTGCTTGAATGGGAACACTTCTTCCTTGAAGACAGTGTCCCTGCTAACAAAAAACCTTTTGGAGCACAGATCATAGAGAATGTAACCCTTTTGTGAAGATGAGTAGCCCATGTGCATAGCAGGAATTGCTTTGGGACAGAATTTATCACCTTTTCTCACCTTAGTAGCATAACACAAACTTTCAAAGACCCTCAGATGTTGTAAGGAAGGGCTCATTTGGAAGAGTTTGTCAAAGGGAGATTTGCCTTGTAGCACAGTAGTTGGCAATCTATTTAGGAGGTAGACTGCAGTAGAGACACACTCTCCCCAGAACCTGAGAGGCAAGTGAGCTTGGAATCTGAGAGCTCTGGCCATATCCAAGATTGACATGTGTTTTCTTTCAACAGTTCCATTCTGTTGAGGAGTATATATACAAGAGGTTTAATGCACAATCCCCTGATTCTTCAATAAGGTTTGTAATTGATCATTGAGAAATTCTGTACCATTGTCTGTTCTTAAGCATTTGAGCTTGCTATAAAATTGTGTATATATTAGTGCTACAAAGTTTTTCAATATTTCAACAGTATCTGACTTAGAATGCAGTAAGAAAAGCCAAGTATATTTTGAGTAGTCATCTACTAGGGTTAAAAAATACCTTTTTCCATTATGAGTAGGTACTCTATAAGTCCGCCAAACATCACCATGAACCATATCAAAAACAGATTCAGACTAAGAGGAGCTAACAGGAAATGGTAGTTTTGATTGCTAGGCAATAGGACACACAGTACAGTGATGTTGTTTAAAATGCATGTCATGCAAAGATTTCACAGACCTCAAAACCTTCAAAGGGGCATGACCTAACCTCCGATGCCATAAGGAGAATACAGGACATGACTTATTCTCTGCTAGGTTATTACCTTTATTGATGTCATCTGATATGGTATTTACAGTTGAAGTAGAAAGAGATACTAGTGAAGAGGAAGATTATTGATTGAGCACTTGTCTGTCATCTGCCTTGAGGATATACAAACCAAGCTCTTCCTTACCAATCCCCAAGACCTTCCCACTTGAGAGTTCCCGAAAGACACAAAAGTCAGGGTAAAATGCTGCAAGACACATCAGTTCCTTTGTGAGTTTTGATACTGAGAGGAGGTTGTACTTAAACTCTGGAATGTGAAGGATATTCTGAACCTTCTTGTTCTTGAAGAAAGAACAGATACCTACATGAGTGATAGACACCTGTTCTCCAGTTGGTAAATGAACCTTACTCCTAGCATTCTCAGGTATTTTATCATAAGTCTCTAGCAAATTCAAACTGTGAACCATATGGTTTGTGGCACCTGTGTCTATTATCTAGTTATTATGAACTAGATTAGTCATAAAAGCACGTGCAGTACATGTTGGCCCTACAACAATAACATTGGCTACATATTCAACCTTCTTGTCCTCGTTCAACAGGTGCAGAATTTGCTGGTACTGTTCCTGAGTGAAAAAATGAGCTGGAGCTGGAGTAGTTGTCACATGTTGTCCCTGTACTTGTGGCTCTGAACAACTAGAATTAACGGCACTATTGGCTTGAGCATGTGGAGCTCCACCTCTTCTCTTGTTCTTGAAATCATATGGATAACCATGAAGCTTGAAGCAATTTTCCCTGGTATGACCTTTGTATTTGCAATAATCACACCAGACTGTAGATTTACCAGCTGTGTTTCTAGGTTTATAACTTCCATTTGAGTTATTTGAAATGGCATTAGATTGTCCTCCACCATTGTAACCTCCAGTATACATCTTGTTACTCATCATTGCAACTTCATTGCTTTCAGCATATGCACCTTTTCCACTAATCCTATGGCTCTCTATATTTACTATCATGGCATAGGCCTGATTCAAATTTGGTAGGGGTCGAGTCATAAACACTTGATTCTTGGCATTCTCAAAGGATTCATTTAAACAGTGAGGAATTGATATAGCTTTTGTATCTGGTAATGTTCTACGTGTTTCCTAGATTCAGCATAACCACATGAAGGTGGTGGTGTTAGTGTTTCATACTCATCCCTAGTTCTCTCGGTTTAGTTATACTGAGACAAAAGATATGCCTTGAGTCAGTATGGCAATTTCCTTGTGAAAATAACAAGCCCTAGATGCATTATCCTTATCAAATCTCTCCTTGAGATCCTCACAAACAGTGTGTGCATCAGAGGCATAGATCACATAGCTGATCAAACTAGGTGAAACTGTGTTCATTATCCAAGCAAGCACAATAGCATTGCATCTGTCCCACAATTCATGCAAACTAGGATCATATCTAGACTTTCTACAACTGCCTAGAACAAAACCTAGTTTATTTTTACCATGCAAAACAATTTTCATAGATCTACTCCAAATTGAATAATTTTCTGAACCTTGAAGCTGAGTAGAAGTAAGTACAGAACCTTGAGCATCAGAAGGATGAATGTAAAGAGGATGATTGTGATCAACAAGCTCTATAGTTGGCGTAGAGATTGAAGTCGCAAATGGAGAATCACCAATTTCTTCATTGATCGCCATTGTAGTAGAGACACAAAGCTTTCAAACCGTTAATTTCTCACAAAATTGAGCTCGATCTAACCGTGATACACTAGATAATTGAGAATTCCCAAACCCTGGAGTGGTGAGAAGGCTTCTGTGTTGAATAAATAGCTCGATCGATCAATAAGATTGAGAAGCTAAAAATGAATTGAATTACTCCAGTTCTATCACAGCAGAGCTTCAGTGAGACGAGCACCGGGCTCTGATACCATGTTGAGAAGCTCTAACTATGGAGGAACTGAAGGTTCTAGAGGATGAGAAAGGAAGATGAAGAAGTCTGAAATGAAGCTCTGTATTATTCTTACAGAAGAAAATGAAATGAACGTGTAAATACAACTGCTTAGTCTCATCCTATTTATACACAATTAACTAACTTCTAACAACTACAACTAACTCTAATACATTCTAACTAATTACACTTTGTATAAATAGCTGGGACCTACACTACTTAACATATATACACACTGATGTATTAAGTACTTTAACCTTCAAGTATTCACAAAGCAAAAGAAATAGCAAACGAATACATCAATCAGTACGTAACCCTCAATCAATCAAAACATAATTCCCTTTCCTTTTTGGTTTGTTTGAACATTAGTAATGGACTTCTCTCTCTTTACTTATTTATTTATTTATTTTTTGAAACAGAGTGAACCTTTTTTTTGTTATTGAGATATTTACATATCTATATTACTTAAAAAACTTATGTATCCTCAATATTAAAGTTTTAACTTAATAACAAGTTGATATACATTTTACAATTTACATACAAAATAATGCACTAGACTCTAATGGGGAAGGAAGAAGATGAGAAAAATGGGGAAGGAAGAGAATAAGTAAAATTAGAGTCTAGTGCATTATTTTGTATGTATTTTGTGTGCCAAGTGTAAAAACAACATACAAAATATATACAACTAACATAATTGTATATAAATTGTAATTTCTGACTGAATTATGTGGAAAATTATATTTTAGTTTGTAGATAAATTATAGATAAATTGTACTTTTTGACCGAATTTGTATATATTTTGTAAAATATTTTAGTTACTTTCTGTAAATAAAAATATACAGATAAAATCGGAAAAATAAGTTTGAAAATTCGTATATACATGAAAAGTCTCCTTTTTAAAAAGAGAAATTTTCAGAAATGACTATTGTTTAGTGGCTATTAACTTCCTATAGCTACCATATACATAATTACGTTTCGTAGCAACCTTTCAGTTGTTATGGAAATGTATTCATGTATTCGAGCTACTATATTCATGAATACAGTAGAAAAAATCGGCTAAAAAATAGGGGCGTCCAGCTGTCGGCCGCTGTATTCACATATATTCATACCATGTATTCATGAATACAACGTAATAATAGGTCTCTCCAGTTGTTTAATAACGGAAAGCTGCTAATTTAATGGGATAGACTCCTAATATAACTCACCTAAATCAATTATAACACACAACTTTATCAATCCAATTAATAAGAAGAATGAGACGCTAAATACCAAAAAATAGAGCATTCTTCAGCGTTTCGGTCCCTTTTTTTTTCTGATACAGTTCGAGTTTTTTTTTTTTTTTTACATTGTTCAGGTTCATAGTAAACCTAGTTCTTGTATTCGATTTTCTGTATATGAATACATCATGCATTTATGTCGGATACAACCTGTAATAGTAACCTACTGCTTGCATATTTCATAATAAATCTAGTGCTTGTATTCTATTGTATCTAACAGTTGTGTTTAATGTATTCATGTTTATTTTTGTATTCACAAAATTTATTTATTCCTAATATATGGTATTACTGCTTTATTGAGTATATTTTATTGGTTGTATTCATTGATTTTCTATTTATATTGAGAGTATTTTACTGTATTTCACTATATTGTTATTTTAAATACAAATGGGTACAGTTAGAATGAATATACAGATGAATACAGTTAGATTGAATGCATAACTAATTGATGAATAACATCAAAATGATAGAACTAACAATGTATTTAAAAATGTTGTTGTATGAACTCAAATACATATAAATACAACAGTCAAAAATCACTATACAAAATAAAAATCAGTGTATATCGAATACATATAAATACATCTATATACAAGATGAGAAAACCACTGTACAAGCTAAAAATCAATGTATTCGAACTCGAATACATATAAATACATCTACAATTAGGGTCATTGCGTATTTTTGTTCTCCCTTCGACTTCAATGGTTGCTGATGAACCTGCAAATATAGGTTACTCTTGAGTGATTTGCAAATCGAAAGATGGTCCTTCAAAATTGAGTGTTTTAGTGGGTATTCTGCAGAAAACCTAACAAAGCTTTTATAGTATCGAAAGATGGCCCTTTGAAATTGAGTGCTTTAGTAGGTATTCTGTAGAAAACCCAACAATGGCGAATATTTTAAAAAAAAACTGTTGAAGAGAAAAAGAAGAAGCTTTAACCGGTCAAAAACCCAAAAATGTTAACACTTTCCACAACTTATTGGAGCAAAAAATATTGAAATTGAGGAGACAATGTCGCTAATAAAGGAGAGAGCTGGGGAGAGAAATTTGGAACAAAAAATATTGAAAACGTCCATGGCAGCTACCAGGTCTCCATGTCGCCTAGAGAGAGGAGAGAGGAGAGAGGAGAGAGGAGAGAGGAGAGAGGAGAGAGGAGAGAGAGAGATCGTGGAGAGAGAAATATGATACGATGCGGTGATTTTGGGAAAGAATAAACCCAAAGAAAGAATGAGAGAGAAAAATATTATACAACGTATTTAATGACTTAACGGTAGGAAGTGACCATAAGTACATATTTTGCTATAAAATCTAAAAGGTAGCTATAGAAAATAATAATTTAAAAAGGTCTCTATTTATAATAAATAGGGTGTAATGCTTTGCTATCGGAAGTAAAATTTCCTTTTAAAAGCTCGGTAGAACATTAGAAGCCAAAAAAAAGGGTGATTTTTAAAAATAACCAGATTTACAACTGGTAGTTCAAAAATAGCCCAATTTCAAAAGTAATCGAAATTTAGCCACTTTTTATGTAAAGATAAATCTGAGCGAAAACACTATTCAAAACCCGGAAAATACTCCAGTATATTATGCTGGAGTTCCAGCATAAGTATACTTGAACTCCAGCATATTATACTGGAGTTCCAGGATAGTATGCTGGAACTCCAGCATAATATGATGGAGTTCCAGCATAAATACACTAGAACTCCAGCATAATATACTGGAGTTCCAGCAAGTATAATGGTCCAGTATAATATACTGGAGTTTGGAGCACCAGTGCTCCAGTCTCCAGTATATTATACTGGAGCCAGCAAAGTATACCAGTCCAGCATAATATGTTGGAGTTCATACACAAGTGCACCGAACTCCAGTATATTATGTGGAACGGTCTCTATTGCAACAAAACGGTGGCTATTTTTCATTGACTTGGTAAATGCTGACTATTTTTGATTGACCAGTCCGAAAACTGGCTATACCGTAAAATTTATTCAAAAAAAGATGTTGATAAATGCCCATTTTTAGAAGTTTTAAGGGCAGTGGGCCAAAAAGAAAGCTTAGAAGCGTAGATCCAAAAGATGGGCCTGTGGAGTAGCCCAAAGTTGTGACTTCCAATTTCATCGAGCCCGATGATTATATTTGCAAAAGTTATGCTTTTCAGCCTCTATAGTTGAAAAAGTAGCCATTATCACAGAGTTTCAAAATTCTATAAGTGAAACTCCATAATATTGCACGCATTGAATCTTAGAACAACAGCACTATATTTTTTAAGATAGGGACGAAAGATGGCAAGTGGGCGCTATTTCTACATAGTTATGATCACTTGGATTCAAACTTGCAACGTTGTAATTTTGTAATTCAAATTATAACCTCTCGATCATTGTGTTATTCTTAGAGATAATGAATTTTATGATCATGTAAACTCACACTAACACAAGTGGGGTACAAATTAGAAAACTTTTTCTATTGCAAAGCTCAACATCCATCGAACTTAATTTTTGCTTATGATTTCAAGAATCCATGGAAAATAAGCAAATCTAAAGAAGCCATATATAAGTCAATGCATGGCCCAAATTTCTACATTTAGTAAAAGCAGAAATGCAACACACATAGGTCTACCATGGATGATTTCAAAAACACATATAAAAGAAAACATCATAGCCTAATCATTACAATAAAACTTGGAACGTGGAAGAGCTATTATACAAGCAAAATATTTTCTAATGATATTTTTTTTTTCATGACGGTGATGTCCGGCCCAACTTACTAAAGACGTCTATTCTTATGGAGGTTCAACACCGCAAGCAACACCAACAATAGAAACAAGGCGGAACCAACAAGGGAAATAACAATGGCCGCAGCAACTTGACCACAGAACCTATCAAACTTGTCGCACACCTTGTTCCATCGGACATGGGAGTTGCCTTTGTATCCGATGAGGCCGACGGCCAAGGCGGCACCACCACCGGAGAAGAGCAGCGCCACCGTGATGAGGTCCAAGAGAATGATCATTAAGGAGAGACCTTTCTTTTTCCCCCTATTTGCCAATGAAAGGACTAAGGATATAACTGCATATGCACATGCTATTGCATTCACAATCACAAAGTACCTGAAATATATTTTGATCATAAAAATCATTCATAAATTATATAATAACACTCTTGTTTCAAGATACTCTCACCGAATCCTTGATGTATTGGATAAAATTCTACTAACTTATACTAGTAGTAGTAGTATTATTTCTCGTGTAGCTTTAATATTTCTATTTAAAGATTAAATTAATTTAATCAGATTTAGCTATGATATCAAAAGCGGAGCCAGAATTTTAAGTTTATAGATTCGGGATTCTAGCTCTTTTTAAGTGATCGGATCCTAAATTATGACTTTGTACATATTCAATGAATTTATTAAAACATATATAAAGTTTAATTTGAACCAAAACTATTAGGGTCGGCCGAACACGTAAGCTATGCTCCTGCCC